GATGGTGCACAATCCGGTCGGTCCTAATTGTCAATGATCTTGCCTCGGGCTGGAGCGAAAGGTGCTTGAAACGGGAGAGAAAGCGAGTAATCTCTGGGGAAGAACCCGGTGAGAATGCTCTGAAGCTCAAGTTAGTATTTCCTCGAAGGCAAGATAAAAAACCAGATGGCGCAAAGTTATCACATACCTCTCTTCTTGGGGGGAAGGGGGCCTTTTATAGCCACTTCGCGCACTCACTTCCAAGCTCCTGTCAAGTCGGGTATCATTACCTCTACCCTTCTGCCAGTTCGGGTGTCATCACCCCTACTGGGGCAAAACCGCCATTGCTCTCTTTGTCGAAGCCGTCTCTGTAACTGGAGCTGGCGGTGGTAGGTGGCCGTTGAAATGCGGCTGTCAAGTGTCAGATCCTAAGTCAGTCAAGTGCGCCGCCTCAGGATACGGACTCCTTTGGTGTCAGGTATAGTACGGTTGTTCAGTTCGGCGACCTAGAGACGAAGTGCTGGAGTGGTGTGCGAGGTGAAGTCTTGAGCTCGGATAGAGGTGTGGCCCGAACTGCCCTGGGGCGGGCCAGTTCAGGTTGTTGCCCTTTGTGCTCCTCGTAAGGTTCGGGGTCAAAGGGAGAGTTCGGGCTCCTTTTGGGGAGCTCGGACCGCTGGTTCCTCCTTTTGGAGCTCGCGCCTGGGGCATACTGTCATGCCGAGCTGTTGCCTCTGCGACGTATTGAGTGGTTACGAGGTTGGGCCAAATCTTCCTTCATCAATAATTATGTGCACCTGGATGACCTCTGCGATGCTCTAATTTATTTGCTTGAGCACACTGAAGCAGTAAAGGGAAGATACATTTGCTCATCTCATGCATCTACTATCACTAGACTTGCAAAAATGTTGAAAGAGAAATTCCCAGAATATGATATCCCAACCAAGTAAGCCACTGGCATTCATCTTCTTCCACATATGAGTAAATCTACTAAACTCTTAATGTATTATCCCAACCAAGTACCACACCAAACTTGAGTTCAAGTGTTAGGTCATGAACTGGGGAAAAGTTCAGCTCAGTTCAGCCTGTTTACACTTTGTAGAGACAAACACGTCATACATATTATATCTACTAAGTTGAACGATCATAGCCATCTCAATTTTTTCTTTGCATATTCTGTTCTATTATGTATGCCCAATTAATTAATGTTGATAATCTCTCATGATAATTATTCACAGATTTAAGGGCGTGGATGAGAGCTTGGAATCTGCCCCTTTATCATCTAATAAACTTTTAGACCTGGGTTTCAAGTACAAGTACAGCTTCGAGGACATGTACAATGGGGCCATTGAATCAGCCAGAGAGAAGAGTCTGATTCCACTTTCCACTGCAAAACAAGGCAAGAGCTGAAGGTGAAATTACAGATGTAAGAATTGGTTTGGTGTGAACCAACTTAATTAAGAAGGGTTTTCAAGAGTTCTTTTCCTTTTCCTTTATGCTGTGTTTGGTTTGAAGGAAAAAGTAGGGAAAGGCAGGGAGACCTTGTATAGGTTTCCCTTCCTTTCCCTACCTTTTCCTTCAAACCAAACATAACCTTAGCCTTATGTTAACAAAAGATACAAACCAGATCTCTATACTCTCTAACGAGTCATTTGGGTGGTATCTACCCATAGGATCCAAATTGAGCTCTACCTTTTGGTGCTATTGGGTGAGCCCCTCGGTTCACAACAAGGCATTCACATTCAAGTCAGAATAAGCTCAAAATTCAGAAATCCATTTGTCGACCATGTTTTATGGTTTGGAAAAGTAAAACAAGCCAGTAGGAATGCGAATGGTATCACTTTATCCAAACTCGAGCGGATTAAGGGTGATCCAAATTTGATCCTTCACAATTGGATCAAATATGGTTCAATTCCATTTAAATATATATGTTTACATGCATTGTTTTAAAAACCAGACAGGATTCATTATTTTTTCATATAATTCAATGGGCATTTTTTTTAATATTTTTAAAAATGGTATAATTTCCAGATTGATATATGAGATATTAAATCTTGTTTTCTCTTTATTAAATAGATCTATATCTAATACTTTTTATAATATAAAATACATTTTAAAAAATGACCAAAAAACAATACCTTCTTCTGTCCATGTGTCAAATTTTAGATACATTATTATTACCATTATCATCATCTAAAATAGTAGCATACAAAATACATACACATCCACCTTAGTTAGTTGAGGGTAGGGATGACAAACGAGAGGGGTATGGGATTGGGCACCCCCTTCCCGTCCCCGATTCAACCCCCATCCGTGACTTGTACTCACCTCGCAACCGATGATCTGGGGATGGATAATCCCCAACATTTCCCCAACTCCAACTTCCTCAAAGTTTTGGGTGTAGAGCCTAATGCCGTTCATTTCACTGTAAAAATAATTTGAAATTATTTCTTTTTCATGCTGATATTTTGAGCTATATTTCTCCTTGTTCTACTACGAAAAACCTTGTTTTCCAACCATTCCTGTCTGTGTTCTTTTGTTTTTTAAAATTAGAAAAAGTTACTCATCCTCCATTAAAATATCATTTTCCAAGAAAATCAATATTTTTACAACCAAATACAGCAGTCCACTCCTAGGCCCTAGCTACAACAAAAGAATCGTCTCATTATCATATTTATTTGAAGATTGAGCTAGCTTCTATTTTGCTTGACCAATGACCAACCATGTCCTGCAACAAATTGTTTCTTTAGTCTTTACTGTGTGGCACCATTTCTGTTTGTTTATAGCTACGATTTGCACTTACCTGATCATACAAGATCTGTACCTTTTCTTCACATTTCCACCCAGCAGACTTCCTATCACACTCCACAAATAACCCCAATTTCTCACAATTTCACAAACAAATAGGACGCATTCAATTCTGAAATAAAAGTAAACCACAATTTCACAAACAAATGGACAATGAGAGTACAAAGAAACACAGGGAAGATGGAAGAACTAAGGAAGACCAGGAAGTCTGCTGCTACAACGACGGCGGCGCCCGGCAGTCGGCAGACGAACGGAGAGCAAACGGAGAGATAAAGAACTGGGCTGTTAGGGTTGTTAGCGTTAGATCTATTACAAACGGAGAGAAGAAGAACTCGGCGGTTCCTCTATGCTACGGCGGTCGGAGGTTCCTCTGTGCTACGGAGGCGGCGGCGGTCGGCGGTCGGCGGACGAATGGAGAGCAAATGGAGAGATGAAGAACTGGGCTGTTAGTGTTAGATCTGTTACAAATGGAGAGAAAAACTCGGCGGTTCCTCTGTGCTACGGTGGCGGCGGCGCCCGACGGCCTGCAGTTATGCAAAGGTTGAAGGAATAGTATAGTGAGACAGTAACCCTAAGTCTCTGTATGTGCGAACTGAGGAAGACAAAATAGGCAGCTTACTCCTAAACCTAATACGTAATACTAATACCTATACCTTAATACATTATATAAGGGTATTAAGGGTATATTTATAATTTACAACCGGGGATTTATAAGTAGACCCCATCCCCGATACAGGGTAAAAGAAAATTCTTCAAACTCGACTCGTATGTATTTGTGATAGGGGAAAATCCGCCCTGTTCGGGGTAGGGCGGGTCGGGTCGGGTCGGGGATCCGGTTTTGTGGGTAAAATTGTCATTCTCATTTGAGAGTGGGAAATGAAGAGGGGGCCACGCTGAATTGGCAACTTATGAGACTTGGGGCTTATTCATTTGCATTGAAGCAAGACATTTGAATGCTTTGAAACTGTAATAATTACTTCTAGAGGTGTATTGGAGTTGGCAAATTTTTTTTTGGTTTTGAAGTCTGAGTATAGTGAATGATATTTAGAAATCTATTTAACCTTAGATATGAGAAAGTTTGTTAAATTATTTAATAAACTAATTAATAATTAATAAATGTAAAATAATTTATAAATAATGGAATTGATAAAAAAAAGTAGAAATAATTAAATATTTTTAAAGAATTGAGCAACTATTAATATTAATAAATATTTAAAATAAACAATTGCACAATTGTTAATTCATTAATTGTGTAACTAATTATTCTTAATTATTATTCATTATTTAATTATAATAGGTATTTTTAAAATAATTATTGATATTAAAACAATTAATTAATAATTAAATATTAAATTATAAATAATTTAATGAATAATAAAATAACTAAATAAGTTATTAAATAATACATAGATAATTAATGAAATAATAACAATTTCTAATTACTACTACTACTACTACTAATACTACTACCACTACTACTACTACTATTATTATTATTATTATTATTATTATTATTAAAAAACAAAAAAAATGAATTATTGGAAAGCAAAAGATAATTGAAACATTAAGTCTGAAGTGCAAAAATGAAACCAAACGCTCTAATTAACATTGAAATCATATGAATGTTTTTCAGCATTCAATGTTAAGAGACAACAAACAAGCCCTTATTAGGAAAGGAATAAGGGAAAAACTCTAAATTTGAGGAATTTGGATCAATTGATCACAACACATTGCTGGCCATGCTCATCCAACCGCACATATGAAACATCGGTTGTGTTATGGTCATCGATGTTCCATATGTGTGGCTTGATGAGCATGGCCAACAATGTGTTGTGGTTAGTAGATCTAGACTCAAATTGGAGGGTTGAATAAGGGAGAAAGGAGATGCCATATGACATTGCCAATTTTATTTTAATAGATACTAATAGCTGGATGTATAATATATACTAATAGATAGATGTGACAAATTTATCAATCCACACTTCCATAGAGTCACTGGTTTCTGTTCTTTTTATGGTAGATAGTCCAATCCTTGTTCAATTTAATTAGTATCAACGGGGACCCATGTGATGCATGGGATTTGTTAAGTTAAAGATAAACAATAGAAATGTGTAAGAGTATACAATTGTTTTATATAATAATTAATAATCATCTATATTTTATATACTACTCTTAATTTTTTTTATAATACAAAAATAACAATAATTAATTTTAGATAGGGTTGTTTATCAAACTTAGGGATGGCTATTTTCCCCATTTGCCCAATCCTCATGGGGATCTGCCTTGAATAGGGTGGGGATGGGGATGATTAATTTCCCCCCTACGGGGACGGAGATGGGGAAATTTTCATCCTTATTGGTGGAGATGGTGCAGGGACGAGGAGAGCACTCCTTGCCCCACGTGGACCCCAATCCCTTCCCCATGGGATCCTTGCTAATATATATGTATATATATGCATACATTTGTATATGTATATATGTTAATATTTTTTAAAAATATGGTTGAATATATTTGAATCTTTTCTAATAGGATTGTAAATTTTAATTATTTTATTTTTTAGTTTTTAAATAAAATAGAAAACAAAAACATTATGGTTGACATTATAAAGAATCACATGGAGTGGGGATTCCCGTGGAGACAGGGATGGGGATAACTTTGTCCTCGTTAGCGGGGATGGGGACAAAGACGTAGATGGGGAGAGGCTCCTCATCCCCACTCCACCCCGTTGCCATTCCAAATCAAACTAATGAAATTGACCAACACGATTTCTAGTATTTCTAGTCGACTTTGATTTCCCAACCCGACTGGGTTGGATCAATTTCACTTTAGCCATTTGTAAACTGACTAAAATTGAACGACCTATATATTAATATTTTTTAATATGGGAAAGCGAAAAAATTCTAATATTTCTTAGGCTAAAATAGTTTTTATCATAAATTTAATTTTTAAAATTATTTTTTAAATAATGCCATTGTATTTTTAATTTTAAATTTAATTTTTTAAGTTTAAATTTTTTAACTGACTGACCAAACCGAAAATTAACCTAAACCGATATAACTTGAGTGACCAACCCCCCAACTTGACCAGGTCGATTTGGTTGGCCAAACAACCTACAATAGAACCAAACCAACCTGTGAACAATAGTTTAATCTCCAATAATTATTAAAAATTTATAGCAAAAATACACAGTAAATTGAATTTTAAAAGCTAAATAATAGTAGCTTAAACCCCAATAATTATTGAAAATTTTCTATTAAATGACAAAAGTAAAATAATTTATACATAACTAGTGAAAATATATTTATAACAAAAAACAATAAACAATTATTGAAATACAATAAATATTAGTTTTAGTATAGATAAATATATAATAAATAAAGATTAAGTTTTAAAATTATTATTAATAAATATTAGTTTTTTGAAAGTTATTTTCTATAATTATTAATAGGTATAAATGAAATGATTTATCTACAATATCATTTATTTATTGAAATAATATCATTACTTAAATTTTAAAATATTAATTATTTTTTGAATTTAATAATCCATAAAATTATAGTACTGCTAAATAATATTTCATTTTTAATGTTAGATTAATATTTCATTTTTAATGTTAGAATTTTATTATTTGAATAAAATTTAGATTGAATAATCCAGAAAAGCATAATTTACATTGTTTGTACATAATTTTGTGATGAATTTTGTAAAAATATATAATTATTAATAATATAAATATTATTAAATCAATTATAATTATTTTTTTGTCTTTTTAATAAATATTTTAAAGTTATTATATAATTTTGTTAGAACATTTAAATAATTCTTAAATTTTTTAATTCAAACTTTCTTTAGACGGATATAGATAAAAAGTGGGGGAGAAGATAAATAAGAATTAAAGATAATTTAGGAGAGAAACTCTATACTAAATTAGAAATAACTTATGAGAAAGTTGGGGATAGTGGGGGAGGTTGTTTAGGAGAAATTTTAGGATACTAAATTATTTAGGCTATTGGAACGTGTGAGAAATAGAAAGATTATTTTTTTTATGGAAAGTAAAATTTCTAATAGGTAGTTTTGAAAATGACATGGATTAAAAAAATTTGAAAATTCAAAAAAGAAGAAACTTCTAAACTTTCTTGTTTTAATATATACTAGCAGGGACTCGTGCGATGCCCGGGATTTGTTAAGGAAAGTTAAACAATACAACACATAAGAGTATACAATTGTTTTATATTTCTAACTTTTTAAATAATGATTAATTATTTATATTTTATAATACTTTTAATAAGTTTTTGCAATACAAAAATAATAATATTTATTTTAACTAAGCTTGTTCATCGAACTGATGAAACCAACCAACTTGAATTGCTCAGTTTCTAATATTTCTTATTGATATTGGGATCAGTTTTGCTATGGCCATTTGTAAATTAACCAAAATCTAATGACCCAATCACAAATATATATTAATATTTTTATATTTTAAATATAATTTTTTAATATTGGAAAGTGAGGAAATTCCCATATTTCTTAGTCTTAAATATTTTATATTATAAATTTATTTTTAATAATGTTAATATAATTTTTAAATTTAAAATTAAGTTTTCAATATAATCTTTTAAACCAATTGAACAAATAAAAAATCAACCCAAACTAATACAACCCAATTTAGTTGGTTTTCACTAATAGTCAATAGATTTCGAGTAACCATTTCCCCAACCCGATTTAATTGATTTTCATTAATAGTCCGTAGATTTCAATAATGATCAGTAATGACCAGTGTATATATATAGATGGATACATATATAGATTGTCTTTTAGTGTAGAGTATCGTACCATGGATAGCTATGTTGTTTAACTTTGTGTAAGTTAATGAGGCCCACGTCATAGTAAAAACGGACCTCAAATGCGTAGGGATATATAAGGATATATAGAAGCTTTAATAATTAAATATTGATCAGACAGAGAGTTGGGACTTGGGTGTGATTGCACTTCATTGTGCTTCTCTATATTGGTATCCTACAAAGAACTTATATCTCTTGTAATTTCCTTCATCTTGTTGGCCATGGAAGCAGAGACTGAACGTGGCACAGTATGTGTAACTGGAGCATCTGGTTACATCGGAGCATGGCTTGTTATGAGGCTTCTCGATCAGGGTTACGTTGTAAAGGCCACCGTGCGCGATCCAAGTTTCGTCTTCAAACCTTAATTTCTTCTTTAATTGTTTTTTATATTTTCATTTCGTGTTACGAGTAATAAGAAATTGATTGTTGCATGGTTTGACACGAGAGTTGTGTAGACAACACAAAGAAGGTGAACCATTTGTTACATTTGCCGAAAGCTAAGACACACTTGACTCTATGGAAGGCCGTCCTTGAGGATGAAGGAAGCTTTGATGAAGCCATCCAAGGTTGCACAGGAGTATTCCATCTCGCCAGTCCCGTGAAAATTGAGTCCGAGGACCCCGAGGTGAGTGAGAGATTTACTACTAAAAGTCTAAAAGTGAGAATGACGATGGACAAAGTAGAAAAGTCCATTTCCATGGTACCAAACCTAAGACCAAGTTGGTCTGTAAATTGGGCTGAATAGATCTGTCCCAAGCCAATTAGTTAAAGCTAGCCCAATAGACCTTGACCTAATTCTAGGTTTTTTTTTTTCGAATGGAACCGTCCTTTGTGGAACAATAGTGGCCTTCGTTTTCCTCTGCGTATCCTCATTCATGGTGTAAATTTCAACTCTAGAGTATGGATTAGGATTACCACCGCACTCGGCCTAAAGATGCATGCACAGAAGGCCTAAGAATTTCCGGCATGGTCATCCAATCATCCATACATTTCTAGACCAAAAAGGTTGGACCTGCCCAAATTAATCCCTCTTTATGGCTTGATAGGGGTATAAACAGTTGAACCGATTAAAAAAACCTTAAACCAACTGTGGGTCTAGATCTGTCTCAAGTTCTCAACCCAAAGTATGGAACTATAGGGTTGGCTGGGCTAGCCCCAATCTGACTTAAACCCCTGTCATAAATGCCCAAATAGCAAAGACATGATCAACTTGGACTCTTTTCGTTTTTCGGTAAATGGGGGTCAGAATTTCTTTCTTTCTTTTTCTTTTTATTTTTGATATGTAAGCAGTAAAATTACTAACAGGAAGAGGATAGAAAGTGTTCTATACAAGCAGCGGATTCACAGAAGATTTATCTAAGTGCATCTGCATGAGCTGGTGTGGGCAGCCCCATTTCGTGTCCTAGGGATAAAATTAAACCGAACGCAACGAAAACAGAGTTTAAAGTTTTAATATCATCCACGCAGATAGAAGAGTTCCAAGAAAGGAAAGGAGAAGCAAAGGAAAATTGTTCAACACATTTTTAGCATCAAACCAAATCAAGTCAAAATAGAATTCCAATTTTTCTGCTTGTTCAACTCCAGAGCCTTTTTGTTCATAGCCAAAACAAAAGCTTCGCATTAACAGGATTTTTTCAAACAAATTTCTCCCTCCCTCTTGCAGAAAAAACGACACATCAACACCACATTGGAAATAGATTGTTCACGGGTCGGGTTGGGTCGATTTATTGATGTTTTTCCAATCGACCCGATTTGGTCAGATTATCTGAAATTAAAATCGAAACCGATTATGTGTTAAATAAAACCGACCTAATTGATTTGAGTTGGTTTGGGTCGGTTTTGGCTCTACTTAGTGGTGACTTAGTTGCTGTACAACTTAACTTAAAGTTAAGTTGTAACTAGGATAGAGACAACTTAATTAAGTAGGAATTAAGTAGGTTGTAACTACTAACTAGGAACTAACTACTAAGTTGGTTCGATTCAGGTCTGTATGAAAACCAAAACCAAACCGAATCATCGGTTTATGATTTTTTATAACCCGAAACCGACCAGTGCTGAAGAAAACCAGGCCTACTCGGGTTGGTCGGTTTGGTCAGGTTAGGTCTTTTTATGAAAAACCCCGATTGGAAAAACGGTGCTCCTGAAAATGCCTATTTGTTTGGAATCGTTTTTCCATAAAAACAGTGCTTTAAGTCACGCCTTGGATATCGGGAAGGCATGGCTTAGATCTCCAAATTTGGCGTTTCCTCGAACTGTAGCTCATTACTGCCAACAGTGACATGAGGTGGCAGTAATAGGGACATGACATAGCACTGGATAATAGGTACCACTACTGAAAACTTTTCCTAGAGCATTGGTCCCAAACATAAAATATTACTGTTGCTCCAGGAAATATCTTACTTGGCAGCAAAATTTCCAAACAAAAAAAAATAATACTTCCAACTCACACATCAATAGAGAAAACAGTGCTGTATCTGTAACATCCACGTCATACATATACTAAAAATTTTAGAAAGATGATAAACACATAAACCAAAGGATAACTCTTCATTTGAAGCAACTCCACCGTCACATTTAACAAGTATTTACATCAAATTAATTAAAAAAGAAGGAACGTTAGGTATGATAGTATATATCATGATTCATAGCTTGACAAGAACCCATGTGACCAACACTAGCTAGTGGGGTCATTCAAATAAGAAATTAGCTATCCTCCTTACCGACAATAAGACCCACTGAACATGAGCATTCTTAATTAAAAAACTAGAGAGCAATGGCAATCCAACAGACTTTGGAATTCAGCTCAGTGGTAGATTGAGAACTATTCAGGATTTTAGAAAGAACATTAACAAAAATAAATAAAATAAACTAAAGCGAATCTAAAACTCCTGATCTCCGGATCTCCTGCCCATAAGAATTTTACCCACGTGTCTATAATATCTTCCTGTGCATTGTATTATATGTAGAAAAATAAGATGTTCTTCATGCATGGCTGTGATGTTATGTTGATAGACATGGACAGAGTTTTTGTGGGCAGAGGTTCGAACTTGATACTACAACCTTGACAAAAGGATAATAACAAAATGAATGAAAGAACAGATTCGAGCTTGAAGTCTGGTTTTTGTGTAAATGAAATTATGTTATTCCTATTGACTAACAATCTTGTGTTCGTTGTTGGTAACGGTATTTGGTGCCATGGTTTTTCGGTAGAAAATGTCCTTGAAAAATGAAGTTAACAAGATAAATTTAATGAAAAAATACAAGTAAACGCATTTACCAAGATAATTGTTACTTAGAAAACACTTACCTGGGTGAGTACATTTAACAAGGTAAGTCAGTTACTAAAATTGAGCAAGGCCTTAGAGTTGATTATTTATGGGAACCTAAGGCTGTATTTAGTTGCACAAATGCATGGGAGTGCAAATGTAAAAAGTGCAAATTCTTGTTTAACCTTGTTTTGGATTTTTCTTTATTCTGCTACATGTCTTAATTTACTTCATCTGTACTGCAATCAAACGAGAAAAGCTAAAATTTGAAATAAAAATAGATCAGAATTTACACTTAAATCATATGCACTGCCATGGTTTTGCATCATTGCAAATTTATTTGCATGGCAACCAAATACACCCTAAGGTTCAATTTGGGAATAATTCAAATACAAACCTTGTATACTGTTTTTTCTGGATCTTGTATTTGCACTCTTCGCAAACCGAAAAGACGATTCTAACTTTGTTACTGCTTTGTAAAATCTGGATGTATTTTGCAGAATGAAGTAATAAAACCAGCCATCAATGGGATTTTGAATGTTATGAGGTCATGTGCCAAGGCAAAAACAGTTAAGAGAATCGTCTTCACTTCATCAATAGCAGCGGTCATGAGGCAAGAACACCCACCTCCCATGTATGATGAGAGCCACTGGAGTGACATAGATTTCGTCAGGAGGACTAAGATGCCTGGATGGGTGAGCATCTCATTTCCTTCAAGCTCTCATAAAAAAATTGACCGACAAGGTCTAAGACTCTAAGTAGGGATTGGTGCTCCCATCAATAGCAGCGGTCTTGGCTCAATTTTGTTTTCCATGGCCCAAAACTCAAAATCAAAAGTTTATTCAAACAAAGCCTAAATCAGGCTGCTCCAAAAAGAATTTCTTTAGTTAATAGGCCATGAAATGGATTGGATCTGAAACGGATCCAACCAATTACAAATCCATATTCATATATGACGAACGAATGCTGCTTGGGATCTATTTGGTTCATGGAATAGGGGTTTTTGGAATCGAACTGTTTAGTTGAGCAGAATCGAAATCCAACTCCCATTCTTGGTGGAACCCCATTTGAGAGAATGACCATTTCCTCCCCCTCCCTTGATAATAAAGATTCATTCCAACCAATTCCGATTTTCATTTGAACAAACAGGCTGGAGAATAGAACATTCCCATTCCGATTCTCACTGCAAATCAATGCATTTTGGGTTCATATCCTGAAGGAAAATGCAAGTACTTGAGTCCACTCAGTCCATTTTACTAATAGTGACAGATGGTCAGATTTATTTTCAAATGTGGATCTTTGAGAGAATGACCCCATCAAAAACAGGTCAACTCAAACCATTTTACGCCAGTGGGGTCATTTCTTTCTGCCTGTTTATTGTTAATTTTCTGCATATAAGACTCAGTTTGGAAAGCGTATAAATACAAATATATAAAATATAAGGTTTTACACTCTACCTATTTGTATTTGTACTCCCTAAGTTCATTTCTAAAGCAAAGTTTAGGTCAATTACAAGTTCAGATGTATTTTCCATGTTCAGATGTATTTTGCCTCTAAAACATTGGCGGAAAAAGCAGCTTGGGAATTTGCTGAGCAAAACAATATAGATCTGATCAGCGTCATAGTAGCCCTTGTGGTTGGGCCAGTTATCGTGCCATGGATGCCAACCGGCATCGCCTTGGCATTTGCTCTGATCACTGGTATGGTTTGTTGTCACCATGAAACATCTTCTTCCCCATTTTCTTCTTCTTTGTTGTCATATGTATAATTCATTGTTACTATTATTATCGGTATATTCTTCTCTTCCTCTTTTCAGCTGTGTAGTTTGCTCATCACAATTCTTCACAGGGACTGAATGTCATTACCCACTTTTAAAGAAATGCTCTTTCGTTCATCCGGATGACCTTTGTAATGCTCTTGTTTACTTGCTTGAGCACCCTGAAGTGAAGGGAAGATATATTTGCTCATCTCACGATTCTACCATAAGTGGACTTGCAAAAATGCTGAAAGAGAAATTTCCAGAATACTATATCCCATCCAAGTAAGTCCTTGATATCTTTTTATACATAGCATGCCTGGCTGGAATATGAGACAATATTCTATATAACTCTAACTTATCATCAATATAAAGACACAGATAGGGCTATAAAATGGCCCAAGCTTTGAGTCTGAATTTGAGCTCATTTGGCTAAACAAACATGAATCAAATTTGAGTGGACTTAGCTAGCTTATATATTATGAGAAATATGATTAGTACTTACAGAAGGTGTTTTTCCCTTTTCTTTTAATTTATATTAATTATGGGCCTCAGAACATGGGCTCTAAATTTGGGGATCAATGGTCCAAACATCCAAATACATAAGCTACTCTTATGGAGTTTGGCACAGCTATATGCGCCAAAAATTTAGTTAGTTGAATTATCAAAAGCCATCTAATTTTATCTTCTGTGTGCTCCTTATTGGTATGAGCTCTATTGAATTTTACATGTTGCTGAGCTTTATTTTAGTGTTTTACCAAAAAAAAAAAAACTTTTAGTGTTATTATTCTAATAAGATGATTATTTTACAGGTTTGAGGATGTGGATGAAAGCTTGGAAGTTGTTCCTTTCTCATCTAAAAAGCTTCAGGACCTAGGTTTCAAGTACAAGTACAATTTAGAAGACATGTACATTGGGGCTATTCAATCGGCCAGAGAGAAGGATTTGATTCCACTTTCCACTACAAAACATACCAAGGACAGTGGACCTGTAGATGAATAAAATTAAAAATAAGAAAACCATTTGAATCAACAAAATTGAGAAGGGTTGTTATTGTGTGTGCTTTTCCTTGTTGTACCTTTTTTCTCCTTGAAGTCAAAGATCAAAATTATTAAGGCCTAATACAATTTCATTCGGACTGGTGAAGAAATATAGGAGTGCAAATGAATTGAATGCAATTTCTGATTTATTTTATTTTGAATTTTACTTTTTGTTTAATTGAAATGTAAACTGAATATATTGTAAAATCTAAAGCAAAATAAAACCTCAAGTAAAAGTGAACTAGAATTTACACTCTCATTGCAAACAAATGGAGCCCAAATAGAATAAAACATGCAAATTTTGTTCCTTGTTTAGACTTTTCTGGATTTTAGGCTGTGAAACCATAGATTCTACCATGGTTGTGAGATTGACGGGTGTGAAACAGAAGATTATGCTCTCCGGGAGTTTCAGTATCAACAACAGGCTCCAAGTTGGCTTGGTGCCCTCTTCTTTAACCAACACAACCCAACGTGAATCAAGACAAGCCATGTGTGATTCTATGACCATGACTTCTCTTACCCATAAGTTCACTTATTGCTGGAAGTTTGTGCCCCGATTCAGAGAAGGAAGATCTTGCCATTAGTTGGAATAAGTGTTTTATTCCCGATCGAGTTGATATTTTCCATAGAAAGGTATCTAACCTTTCTATGTCCAATTCATAAAAATATGGGTGTCAATGGACCAGATTTGGGTTGGATTCTGTCCAAATCAAAATCTATTCATATTAAATCTGGATGGACTGGACGGAGCAATATGATATATTAGATTGGACCTGGTCCATCCATAATAAATTTATATTAGATTAAACCAATATCTGATCCATTGATAGAAGATAAGAATATAGATGTCAATAGACCAGGTTTAAGTTGAACCAATCTAAATTAACAGAAATTTGAACAGATTGAACTGGACCGGATTGAACCAAATCCAATCCAATTGACACCCCGACATAAAAGGGTGAAATTGGGCTTTTCAAATATTATAACAGTCATGTCACATGTAAATAGAATGTGACAAAAGATAATGGGAGGGAGGTATTTGTCCTATTGTTAAAATCTACAAGGCAGTTTAAGCAATTTATTAAACCATAGAGGTATACTATACGTCAAAAACCTCAGGGATAGTTTAAATAATTTTCTTTTATTTTCGGATCTGGCAATAAGTAAAAACAATTTACATTAGAGAACACCTCCTTATTAAACCAATGACCTAGTAGTGGAGATGGTCACAAGGCATCCTACCCTTGACCCCTCCATTTAGCATAAAGAAGGCATATGAGATCAAACCGCAGATCCATAGGTTCTCTACGGTATGACCCATGGTTTTTAAAAACGACCTGGAGACCAAACCGGTCAGGGGTTCGGTTACCAGGTTGAACGGTCTTACCTAACAAAAAAATTAAAAAATAAAAAACGGTAAAAACCATTCGAACGGTTAATCACCCGGGTCGGCGGTTTGCTGACCAAAATCTACGGTTCTGGGCAAATTTTGGATTTTGGGGAAAACCAAAACCAGTCACCTGACTGATTCCCAGTTTTTTCAATCCGACTGTCCAGTCCGATTTGATTTTAAAAACCATGGTATGGCCAATGAGCTTCAGGTGCACCTTGCTCTACCCGCAACCCCCGGTTCCTCTACACCCAAAAAAAGGAATTTAATGATAATATGAAATGCTCTTCTAGGGTTTCAGGGTTTCATAGTTCACGCTCCAATTAATGTTTCCCTTTTTTGATAAATGAAAAATACTATTAGCAGAAAAGCAAGAAACAAATTGTTCAATACACATTAGGGGGCTGCTTCATTCTATAAAATTAACATCCAAAAACTTCATCATTTGAGCAACTGTATGAACAGCCCTATTAAAGTGAGATAACAGAGTTTGTACACAAAAAGTCTACAATAATCTTTGCATTTGAGAGAATACATAGAAGTCCACCCAGCTTCATGAATAAAGATTTATTAGTGTTGAAAATACAAAAACCACAGGAGATACCAGCATTTGGGATTACTCCCCATCACATTTACAAATAACTTTGAAAAGGACCAAAAGAAGGGTCACTGGGGTTGTGTCTAATTGGTTACCTGTGGATCATAGGAGAAGAAACATCAGCAGTGACATTTAGAGCAACTTCCTAAATAAAGCAGTTGATTGAATTCAACTCCACCAAAACAGAAGGAGAATTCTGATTAAGAAATACGTCATTTCGGGTAGACCAAATAAGGTAAAAGCCAAAAGTTAACCAGCTTAAAACACAAGTTAGACTCCTATTATTACTGGAATCATCTAGAATATATTAAATAAAATCACCAATAGAATGAAATTGGCGGTCTACAAATCTAAAACCTTAGGGTGAAGCAAACACCACAACCTTGACAAAGGGACAAGTCACAAAAGGATGCAAGAGATTATCATCCTTTGTCCCACAAAGAGAACAAATAGGATCCACTACAAGAAATATGACCTTTAGCCACGGTTTTGTTCGTAGCTAAAGGTTAAAAAAGTTACGGACAGAAAACCATAACTTATGTTCACGTGGTTATAACTTACAGCTACGATTCAATTAATCTATGGTTATAATCCCTCTATAGCTACGGTATTTATCCATAGCTAAAGGGCAAATGAAAATCATATGAACCTTTAGCCACGGGTTGAACCGTAGCTAAAAAATGTATATAACTACGGTTTTTAAATTGTCCTTAGTTATAATATCCAAATCTATAACCATGGATTTTTATAAAACCATAACTATAATTCTTCTATTTATAGCTACGATTTACTACAAAACCATAGCTAAATGTACTAATCTATAATCACGGTTTTTTTACTAAAACCCAAGTTAAATACTCTAACCTACAACTACAGTTTTTTGACAAACCGTGGCTAAAAGATGCAATATATGCCCACAACTTTTAGCAGCACATTTGTACAACTTTTAGCGACAGAAACCTGATCATTTTATTTTTGTCAAATTCCGTCAGTATAACCACTAAAAAAAGATTTGCCAAAAATGCAATTATTGTATCTTTGTAAAAGAAGCTAAGGCAACATTTATATGTGCAAGCAACATGGTTACTTTATTTATCTTTTGATAATTAGCTTTTTTACTTTTTTTATAGAGAGGTAAAAATAGATAAAGTTTTATAATTTTGTTCTTGCCTAGATATCAAAACAAAAAGACAACATATCAAAAAGAAAAACAAGTGGATCCCCTTATTGCTAAGACATCAAGCAAGAAACAAAATCTTGAATAGTAGATGATAATATCAAAACAGTGATGGGACAATAAGCAAGTCGTTTTCTGACATAACAAACAATACAACTCAGACATATACAAATATATAAGCCGTCGTTATAGGTAATGACGCATGCTAACCAGTGAGAGAAAGTCATTTTCAATTAAATGCCTTTTTCTTTTATAGGTCAATACTTAATACACGGTATGGTGAATACCTTGATGGAAACGGCACAATTGATTAAGTCAAGTCTTGTGCAGGATCCATTAGATGCCACAGTGAAATTGTATCAATCGGCTGAGGTAACGGAGGCTTGCGATTGAGTAGGTCCTGAGACACTCGTTGCATTGTTGGTCGCGACCGTGGGTTAGAGTTTAAGCATGATAGTGCTAGCTTCACAATTGAAATAACATCCTGTGCAATGAGTTCACCAGCGGGAGGTGAGAGACGTGGGTCAAATACATCCTTTAGAAGTAAAGCTTTTGTATCTGGCGATGCCAATTGTTTTGAGATGAAATCTCGTGGATGCCTCCCCATTATTGCTTCAAGAGCCACGACCCCAAAGCTATATACATCACACTGTTCATTCACTACTGTCGTGTAGGCAAGTTCTACGAAACAAGTGCAAATTGAAAGGCATGAGAGAGAGAAATTGTTCTATTGAATCCAACTAGTCGGATACTTTTTCTTAAGAAACAAAAACAAGGATAAATATACAGTGACAATACAATGACAATGACAAGGATAAATATATGTAATACTTTTTTTTTAAGAAAAAAAAAATTTCAGTGTTCTAAATATTATTACACCCCGAATAATAGTACTACTTTAACCCTTGTGTATCTCTAGTACTACTCTCATTGTGTAGCCTTTCAAAGGAAATAAAAAAAAAAAAAGCCCATAACACCCATATTAGGCGTATCAGTGATAAAATACATGACCATGGCCACGTGCATGGGCAATGCAAGACCTCGAGTTAAGTGGGCTCTAGCGATAGACCTACTCATATGATAACTCTTGAGAGACCAGATCTCATGGACTCTAAGGATAACTCTCTCACCTAGACTCTATCCTATCTAAGATAACTTTGTTTGTGCTTAAAACTCTATCTACTGTAGATCTTATCCCTTATAAAAGTATGATGTAACTATAACTCTTTCTTTGTAAGTATAACTGGGCATCGGTCATATGGTTTATTAGTTGATCAAACCATTCTTCATCTTCTCTCTGTTTTATTCTTTATTTTAAATTTTATCTTGGTATCAGGGCCATGTCAACTGAAACCGGTTTTGTCCACTGGAAACAGTTCGCTCCCTTCAATCCAGAATGTTACCCATTATTTGCCAATCAAACTTGGCAACGACAACTACCTGTTGCGGCGTGCTCATTTCCTACCTATTTTGCGACACCATCATCTTAATGGATCACATCAAAGGAAAGAAGCCACCTCCTGAAGTGATTCCGGATCTAGCTAGCACAGGAACAATTCTCAATCCCGAATTCGAAAAGTGTATGGACTTGGACCAACTCGTGTTAAGTTGGTTAATCTCCTCTCTTACAGGAGTGATGGTTCAAGTAGTAGGTTTGTCAACTGTGGTCGAGGTATGGACTACTCTTGCTCAAGTAGTAAGTTATTTCACAAAGATCTAGATTATTCCATGCTCCGCTGTTTTGGGTGTGCTTGTTATCCTCTCTTGCGTTCATACAATAAGAATAAGTTTATGTTTCAATTTCTACAGTGCTTATTCATTAGATACAGCGGTTCTCACAAGGGCAATAAGTGTCTTCATGTTACTACAGGGCGTATCTTCATTGCTCTTCATGTTGTATATGATGAAACTTTGTTCCCGAGAATTGATCAAACCTCCACTGGTTGTGACTCTCCTTCTTCAACTGGCGTATACATATCTACACCAATCCCACGACAGCCTATGTGTTCACATACTATCTCTCCTAAACAAATTTCTAGTTCAGCCCCTGCCTCTCCGGGACCACCTGAACAACTTCCATCACCCTTGTCCTTTGACTCCACCCCGGGTGCCTCACCTCTCCCTCATCTGAATGACCAGCACGATGTCAGAGTATTCAGGAACTTTTGGATCACATCAAACCAATGTTGCCACCAATTCGTTCTCACTCAATGTGACTAGGTCAATGGATGGTACTCTTCCTCGCTCTCATACTGCTACAAGGTACCCCATCCCGTCTACTCTTATGACTCTCCTCTCCAATGAAGAATGGGAACCTCGATCGTTTTTCTAGGCAGCAAAGTCTGAACATTGGTGTGAGGTGATACTAAAAGAATACAGGGCCCTAATTAACAATGGCACTTGAGAGTTAGTGTTGTATAATCTCTCAAAGGACATTGTTGGGACCAAATGGATATACAAAATCAAGAAGAAAGTTGATGGTTCTCTTGACTGTTACAAAGCCTGCCTAGTTGCCCAAGGATTTCATCAAGTTCCTAGCCTTGACTACTTTGACACTTTCAGCCCTGTTGTAAAGGTAGTTACCAGTCGTATCATGCTTGCCCTTGCAATTTCTCATCATTAGCCAATACACCACTTGGATATTAACAATGCTTTTCTTCATGGAGTGCTTGATGAAGACATCTATGTTCATCAACCCAAGGGTTTTATCGATCCATCATGACCCACTCATGTCTGCAAATTGTGCAATTATCTCTATGGACTCAAACATGCACACCGGGCATGGTATTCTCGCTTAAGTGCTACTCTTCTTCAAATGGGTTTTCGAAATTCCACAACTGATTCATCACTGTTCATTTTCAACACCAGTGATATAGTAACGCTCCTACTCATATATGTTGATGATATCATCCTCACTGGAAATTCCTCCTCTGCCTTAGCTCAATTTCTTGAATCGCTATCTGTAATCTCTCCTGTGGAAGATTTGGGACCACTACACTACTTTTTGGGAATTGAAGTAACCTCCTCCTCAGGCGTTTTATCTCCCTCAACAGAGATATGTCCTCGAGTTGCTGCACAAATTTGGAACGAGTTAAACCCATTTCCTCGCCCATGGTTGTCTCTTGCAGATTCTCTCAGGACTCCAGCACTACATTGCCAATCCAACCGAGTACCGGAGTATCGTAGGAGCTCTTCAATATGTAACCATCACCCAGCCAGACATTTCCTTTGTTGTCAACAAAGTTTGCCAGTTTCTTCATTCCCCCACTAATGAATACTGGGCAGCCCATACCCAACCTTGTTAGCCTATCCATCATGTTCCATCTGTGCAACCCCGATCCATCATGTTAACCAGTGCCTTGCAGCAAGCCCATGTCAACCAATCAGTCCAAACTAAGTACATGCGGACAACAGATTTTTCCAACCCAATGCTAACCCACTCTTTAGTCCATATAACCCTGGGTGGGAAAATCAGCCCAATTTCACTTACAGGGCCCAAGCCCAAGAAACCCCCCTACCAGATATGCACTCTCAATGGTCTGAAGGCCAGACCCACTGGGAGTACAATGATTACCCTAGGACTCAACCAGCTCAACCATGTCAAACCTACACACAGTCCCAGCAGTACCATTCATCTAACTCCATGGCCCAGCAGTTTCAGAGGCCACAAGGGTAGACCCAATTCCAACAGATGTATCTTAGGAACCAACCGACCCAACTGTATCAAGCTTACCCTCAACCTCCTCAGACCCGTATAGTAGATGACCAATTCATGCAACTTCAACAGCTGGTCCTAAATCAACAACAGTCCATCAATAAATTAGAGAGCCAAATAGGACGGCTAACCGAAGCCAAGGTGAGGAGAGAAGTAGGGCAAATATCGAATCAACCGGTTGCGACTCCCATAAATTATCCACTGGGTTTTCCTCCACAACAAATTCAACCACCTCCTAAGAACCCTCAGCTTGAAAAATGCAAAAATTGTTACAATCTTAAGGAGTGGGAGGATGTTAGAAGACCCATGTGAGAAAAAGAGAGTAAATGAAGAAGAAAATGAGCAGGAAGACCCTAAGTTTGGGGGAGAAGAAAAAGAACCTTTAGTGAACCAACCCGTAGTTCCCTTTCCAACTGCACTCACAGTCAAGCCGATGTGAAAGAACAAAGAGACGCGCAACGAGGAGAGTCAAGAAGTCCATATTAACTTCCCTATCCTCGACACAATCCAACATATCCCAGCCTATGCCAAGTTTTTAAAAGAGTTGTGTACTCAAATTATGGAGCCACGATTGGCCCCACAAAGAATAATGCTCTCGACAGATGTTAGTGCAGCTCTCTCCTAAACCACTTTCCCCGAAAAATGAAAGACCTTAGTGCACCTCTCATAATCTGTGTCATCTTTGGAATCACCTTTGATCGGGCCTTATTGGACCTAGGGGTTAGTATAAATATCCTTCTATCCATTCATGACAGGTTCAGGATCGGCAAGTTAGAACCTACCCCGGTAATTCTGCAACTCGTTGATTGGTCAGTCAAGACTCCTTGAAGTGTTATTGAGGGCGTCATTGTTAGGGTAGAGGGTTGTCACTTCCTAGTGGATTTTATCATCCCAGACATAACCCTAACTGAGGAACTGAACCACATCCCAATAATCTTAAGATGTCTGTTTCTAGCAACGGCCAATGCAGACACTAACTGTAAATCAGGAAAAATGGACATTTCATTAGGGGAGCAGAAAGTACAGTTAGATATAGTGGACAATCTTTTAGTGCCTCTAAGTATCAAAACCTAGGGGAAGATGACTGCAAGGTAGATATAGTGGACAATCTTTTAGATGCCATACCTACCCCTTGATTAGCCCAATCTGAGCCCTGTATGTGTGAGGAAGAAAGCGAGTCTGGGAATATAGATGAGAAAAGTGTGTGAATGTGTCCGGCTGAAGACATTAAACTTAGCGCTGGTTGGGAGGCAACCCAACGTAGTTTTTAATACTTCTGCTGTTAGGATTTGAGTTTTTCTTTTCTTGATTTGAGACCAGTTGGCAGACCTTAAACCCTTAGGAAAACCCTATTTATTGTTCCCTTTGGCCCAAATCCTATTTGCAACATCCTAGCCATGCCATTAGGGACAATGGCATTTAAGTTAGGGGTGAGGAAAGAGAGAGAGAAAAATTGGAAAAAAAAATTGAAACTAAGCCTTTATTTATGTAGAATTAAAATTTCACTGAAATTTTTAAAATTTTCAATTAAAAGAGATTCCCAAACAGAAAAAGTTGAGGAAAATGATAAAAGAATATTGCATTTTGTAGAAATTAGTAGCAAGTGATAGGAGTAAAAATTGGTCTTATTTGAATATTGTCGAAACCGTTTAGAAATTGGAAAATACTCCCAAGTTTACCCCTGCCAAGCTAAGAAGAGAAAGATTGAAAAATTAGACAAAAATTCTTCAAAATTGTTAGAAACAGTGGACTACCCAGAACAATGTTTGCAAAATAAAGAAAAAAAAGAGAAAAAAAAATGAATAAAAAGTCAATGGATACCGTAGACTTAGTAACCAAGTCTCTTCACCTAAGTCAAGTGTCGAGATTCACATCAAACGGAAAAGGGAATGCCAAAAACACTTACCTAACACTTAGTAAACGGGTCTTTTCACCTAAGGCAAGTGTCAGGATTCACGTAAAACGATGAAAGGTAACAATGAAAATAAGTTCAGGGGTAGAAATCCACTGTTAGAAATAATAAAAAGAATACTTGTCTGATTTTAAAATCAATCTCAGTTTATCAAGGCAGTCAGCAAATGGAAGGGTAAATAAGATTTTTAAGCCATGTTTTTGTAATATTCAAAATAAGACAGTTTTACCCCTAAAGCCCAATATCAATCTATATAGAGTTTGAGAATGCCGGAATCAAGATGCTTGATTAATTCTATTACAGATGATCTTGAGATGGGAAAGATTTATATACTCAATGTAATTTTAGGGTTGCATTGCTAAGGGACTAGCAATGGTTAAGTTGGGGGGGTGTGATAACCCTGCATTTTGATGCCTTAAGGGCATCAATTCAGGGGTATTTTCAACCTTAGAATAGTCAAGATGTGTCTTTTTCTCAGTTAAATGCAATGTTGTGGCCCCCACAGGTCTCTGTGCAAATTCTAGGGAAAACTAGGAAGTTTCCATGGCTGAAATGCAGATATTGGAAAGATGGTGTGAAGTCCAATTGAGAGAGGGGGTGTTTTTGTGAAAAACTAAAAGTAGGAGGGTGCCTCCTACATGCTAAACCCAATTTGGCTCCCCTTATTAGCATGCTCCCCATGACTTAGCAAACCCTAGGGCACGTTTTAACCCATTCTTTTCACTCTTAACAAACCCTAGCCACCCCTAATTGCTAAACCCTTACCTTTCATCCCTTCTAATCTCCACCACCCATTGTAGGGTACTCTCTTTTTAGCATTCTAACCCTAGGAGCCACCTATTCTACTAATCCTCACCATTCAGCTCCCCACCATTAAATCTCAGCCACTCCCTCCATCTTATATCTCAGTTGTTCAATTTAGGGCACTGCATATTCTTTTAATCTTAACCCTTCAACCCTAGATGTTCTAATCTACAACCTCCATTTTTGGGTGCCCAAATCTTAGCCCTACATAATAATGGGTTCCCTCGCCTTCCATCTTTAGCCATAGGATCACCCCAAAACCATCTTAGCCATCCATTAGAAACCCTAGGGCATCCCTAACTTTGCTATATCCTAGCTACTGCCCCCCATCTTTATCTTTATTTCCAGTTGTGTCTACCATTCTCTATAAAAATGGTCCTAGGGGCCCTATAGAAGGGGTTGGTCAATTCACCCAGTTAACAAGGCTAAGGTTTCTTGAGGAGTTCAAGGGTTGTAGAAGGGGAGGACTCCCAGATCTTGTCAGGAGGGGTTCCTGCAAGATGTTCAATCAATCTGCAACTACCGCCACTAGATCTGATCAACCACTCTTTTATTTTCTGTTATTTTTATTTTTGCATTCTTTTAGATTTAATTCTTATTCATTTCTCTATTTTGCAGATCTGATTTCGTCTGATTCAAGGCTAAGGTGCCTCGAGGGGTTCGAGGGTTGTAGAAAGGAAGGACGCCCGATTCTTGTCAGGAGGGGTTCCTGCAAGCTGTCTAGCCAATGTGCATCTATTGCCAATCGATCCGCATTCTAGATCAACTTGGTTTATGTCTTTTATTTCTTTTGTTGATTTCTGCACTGCGTTAAATTCTAAATTTTAGTTATTGTTTTGTTTAATTCTGAATCATTTAATTTCAGCAATAATAGATTTTATTTTCTTATTTTCTGCAATTCTCAATTATATTTGATGTAACCGTTTCTGCTCACGTACCAATTTTTGTGATGTATCAATCTTTTTGGCTAAGCACCTCGTCATTTGACCTACTCCCAGGAGAGGATGGTGGAGCTCCCTGGTGGTGAGCTACTTGGTGACGAGCTCCCTGGTGGTGAGCTACCTGGTGACAAGCTCCCTGGTGGTGAGCTACCTGGTGACAAGCTCCCTGGTGGTGAGCTACCTGGTGACGATCTCCCTGATGGTGAGCTACCTGGTGACGAGCTCCCTGGTGGTGAGCTACCTGGTGACGAGCTCCCTGGTGGTGAGCTACCTGGTGACGAGCTCCCTGGTGATGAGCTACCTGGTGACGAGCTCCCTGGTGGTGAGTAACCTGGATGGACTCGTCATTTGACCTGCTCCTAGGCGGCCTGTAACTCAGAGGGTGGTGGAGCTCCCTGGTGTAGCGCAACCTGACTACCCTCTGCATGAGGTGATCTCCTCTCCTTTGTAGGCGGCGAGAGCTGAGAGACCTGCGAGAACTCCATCTTTTCCTCCTCTTTGTAGGTGGCGGGAACTGAGGAACCTACTAGAACTGAATCAGAGGACCCGGGGGTATTTACCCGACGGGGACTCTCCGATGCCTAAGTTAGCATTCTGATTGCAAAGAGCTTGGAGAGAAATGAGAGATCTAGAGAGCAGGGATTACCTCCATTTTTCCACTTTCCCCCTTTTGTCTTTGGGGTTCGGAATCCTTATATAGCGGTGTCTAGTCAAATCAGGCGTAACCGCCTCTGTCATGTCAGGCATAACCGCCTCTGTCTCTCTGTCGTAGCCGTTACTGCCAGAGCTGAGGTGGCGGGTGCAGCCAGCTATTGCAGGGTACGGCTCTGCCAGGCAACAAACAGCTCTCAGGGATGGCAGGCACAGCGCCGCCTGGCGAGAGACGTGGGCGCAGGTCTCCGAATCTGTCAGGCAGGAGATCTTCCTGCGATACGCCGAGCTGCCCCTAAGTGGCGAGCTACCTATGCCGAGCTGCCTGTAAGTGTCGAGCTCTTCCTAAGACACCAGGCTGCTTATGGAGTGGTCGGCTGCCTGTGGCGAGCTGCCTATGCCGAGCTGCCCCTAAGTGGCAAGCTCTTCGTAAGACGCCAGACTGCTTGTAAGTGGCGAGCTCTTCGTAAGACGCTAGGCTGCCTGTAAGTGCCAAGCTGCCCCTAAGTGGCGAGCTCTTCGTAAGACGCCAAGTTGCCTGTAAATGCCAAGCTGCCCCTAAGTAGCGAGCTCTTCGTAAGACGTCAGGCTGCCTGTAAGTGCCGAATTGCCCCTAAGTGGCAAGCTACCTAGTTGTCAAGAGGCTGCACTTAGTTGGCATGAGGTGCCAGGTATCATATTTTCACTAGAGGGCCAAATCCGCCCTCATCAGTATTCTCTTGTCCAAATCTAAGTACATATTATTTTTTTTCCTCGCTTCCCTATGATTACGACCCATTATCATCCTTTTACTATGTTAGTAATTGTTTGAGAATTAGAAAAAAATTTATAAATATTAAACTGGTGTTCCGAAGTGGTTAACAACACACTTTCGAACACACCAATCTTATCCCTTGTGAAAGTATGATGTAACTGTAACTCTTTCTCTATAAATATAACTAGACATCGGTCATATGGTTTATCAGTTGACCGAACCATTCTTCATCTTCTCTCTGTTTTTATTCTTTATTTTAAATTCTATCTTACAGGAAGGGAAATGACCTGACCCTTAAAGATACACCAGAGAAAACAAATTTCTATGATATAATTAATTCCAACTCATGACCTATTGATAAGGTAAGTTATTGTCTTATTACCTATTTACCACTAATCTATTTTGTCAAAATGGAAATTCCAAATATCTGTAGTTACCTTGAAAAATCTGTAAAAAGAGAAAATTAAAGCAAGCAAGAGTAAACTTACCTGGAGCAACATACCCACATGTGCCTAAGAACATAGTCTGATTTGAAGAATGAGGATATAGTAGTTTAGCAGTTTCGAAGTCTGAGAGACAAGCCTTGAATTCTGAGTCTAGAAGAATACTGTTGCTAGTTAAGTCTCTGTGAATTATTGGGGGCGTGCAATCATGATGCAAGTAAGATAGAGCATGAGCTACCCCTTTGACGATGTTTACTCGCTTATTCCAATCCAATTCTGCAGCTTTCTCTTGATTTCTCAATATCTGATATAAGCTTCCTCTTTCCATGTACTCATAAACAAAGAACATGCATCTTCGATGGAAACAAAAACCGAAGAGTTTCACGATGTTTCGGTGCCGTACTTTTGCTAATACCTGGAACTCATGCTTCAAAGTTTCTACGTAAGCCGAAACCATTCCTTCCCAGAGGTGAAGTTTCTTTAAGGCTACTACTTGTCCGGCAGGAAGCTGTGCCTTGTAGATACTCCCATAACCTCCTTTTGCAATACAATATTTGATGTCAAAATTCTCTGTGGCTTTAATGATGTCTTCATATGCAATATATCCGTCATAGTTCCATATAGAGAAAAGATCTCCATTTTTTTCTCTTCTTTCCTCGGTTTTTGATTTCCTCAACTTCCTTCTGCCAAGGAAGCAAAACCCAACAATTAGAAACGCAACAAATATGATGCCGAAGAGGGAAAAACTAATAGAGATGATGATGGTGTTCATTGGTATTGGCACTTGAATAATGGCCTGGTCACCTTTTACACCCAGTTGTGTTTGGATCGGAAGGAAAAGAGGAGGACGGAGACGACGAAGAAGAAATAGGAACGAAGGTGGGTATTCCTACCGGGAACTTGAGATAGGAACGTGAGTGGTGCAAAACTATATAATTTATTTTGATTATATTTGAAGTCAATTCCCAAAGTCTTCTTCAACTCTGCCTTTAAAAGAAATTCCCAAAGCTTTCTATACACCTAAGCGTTCAACATGCAGCTGTCCCAAATCGAAGTATTTGAAGTTAATGTCGGCAAATATTTGAAGTCAATGCCCAAAGTATTCTCTTTTTGTCCGATTTACAGTGTCTCTCCCAAATGCACATCTTATAGACGGGACAGGTCGGAGAGAATGGCGCATTAACAGGGACAAGTTTTCTTTTTTTCTTATTTTTGATTTTTAATTATTTTGATACAAATAATACAGTTATTTGGCTGGGACTGCTCACTCATTGTGTCTACCTAACGTGCCTATTACATCCGCATCCAACTTATGTCAACTACCATTTAGAAATAGAAATTTCAAATAATGGATGGGAAACCAAAATTACAGTTAGCTACAGCCAATAAATATAAAATTTGTTTCAACTCCTCCCCATAGGTCAGCAAAAAAATTGTAAGTTTTCTTATCCGTTATACCCCTAAACCCCAAAAAAGAGAAATTATATTCATAAAAGCTCTCGGCATTGAAGTTCTGTTTAGGAATGGCAATGGGGCGGGGTGGGGATCGTCCCCATGAAAATCCCCATCCCTATTTTTGTTTCCGTCCTTACTAATGGAGATAAGGTTATTTCCATTCTCGTTCTCATGGGGATCTCCATTATCGTGGGAATCTCCATTTCCCGTGATTTTTATAATATTAATCATTTTGTTTTTGTTTTTTATTTTATTTAAAAAATAAAAATAAAATAATTAAACTTTAGAAGAAAAGATTCAAATGTATTCAACCATATTTTTTAAAATATTAATATATAGATGTATGTGCACATAACATATGCATACATATTAGTGGGAATCTGACAGAGCGGGGAGTTCTCTCCCCGTCCCTGTCCCATCCCCGCTGACAGGGATGAAAATTTTTCCATCCCCATCCCCGCAGGAGAAAATCATCCCCATCCCCACTCCATTCAGGACGAATCCCTACTAGGGAAAATTGCCATTCCGTTCATAAACATAACTGCCTTCTTCCCCATCTCGTCAGGTAGAGATTCAGACCGTTTTCTAAGGAATAGCTGACCGAAGAAACCACAATTATCTTTTCTTCGATTCCGAATCCTTTACTATCATCTCGCTTCCCTGAAGTCCTATCATTTGGTAATGTGATCAGAAGATGTTGATATATATATGGGTGTCGGGCTTGCTTTTGAGGTTTGTCTTCCCTTTATTACAGTGCTTCGTGTCAGCTCCGGTGGAATTCGATATGGGTGTCGAGCTTGCTTTTGAGGTTTGTCTTCTTTCTCACTAATTTGCTCTTTTTTTCTGTGGGTTCTGCTGCATATATATTTTGTAGAATTTGGGGTTTTTTCCGATTATTGTGGATAGTCGTTCGTTGCTGATCTGATCTATGGTCTCTGGTTTCTGATCCTAGATCACTGACTCCTCTTCTTTGATAGTGTTTTTGTGAGCTTGAGCCTAATAGTGATTCTGAAAGAACTATGCGTTTTAGGTGGATTGAATTGAATTGGAATGTTTAATTGAACCGGAATGACTTCAATTAAAATGGATTTTGATTGTATAACAAGCTGATTGTGAAAATTGGCATTCAATTATAGATTTCTTTCGTCTCAAAACTCTCTGAAGCTGCCTCATCATTGCTTGTAATTATTTTGTTTCCCATCTTCACGTTTCTGATTCATTTCAGTTTCTTAATTGTTCTCCGAGGTGAGGAATTATCTTTAGAACTAACTAAACGCGTATTATATGATACATAATCTAAACTGTCATTGCTGATATGGCAATTTTTTGAAAACCATTGTTCCATCCATGAAAATCATATATTTATTTTCCTCTATCTTGGTATGCCTAAATTCCGAGAGGAGTGAACTTGTTTCAGTTGTATGCTAGAGCAGCAACGCTTTGGAGTTTTTGGTATGAAAGAAACTCGTGTATATTGGACAATATGAAACTTGAAGTGAACACTCTCATTGACCTGAAAAAGGTGAGTGGCACATTAGGTTTTTATGAGGGATGAATTTAATGGTGCTCCAATGGACTCTTTATTGAGGGGCTGGCAGGTAGCGGCTGCTTTGGCCTCACGTAAGTAGTAGGTGATGCTTAATCGTCTTCCTAGGAGTAGGAAAAGTAAGATGGGCACTCTCCTAGAAACCTAAGCCAATCAGTAGTGGGAAATGTTTTTAGTTACCATGTACTTAGCTTCTATGACCCAGTTTGTGAAGGAAATTAGGAGATCTTTTAAGGGCTAAACTTGCTCTCTTACTAAGGTGATGGTGTGTAATCTGGATGTTCTTAGTTGGAGGGCAGTTTAGACGGTAATCTGCTTTGTGGGTTGGTCAAACTGCAAAAGAAGAAGGTTCAGAGGACCCAGGGTGGTTTATCCTGTGTGGGTTACTTCTACAGGTCGGATCATTATGAGCTGCTTGCACATAAAGTACTAACTTAAGCATTGAAGCACCCACACCGGATAAGTCACCCCAAGTCCTCTGAGCCTTCTTCTTTTACAATTCGACCAGCAAACAAAATGGACCGACCTCTTAAGTATGGACTTCAATGAGAGAAGTAAAAGCACCGTTAACTTTTAACGGTTTGTTTACATGGACTTAAATGTTAGCAAAGATCCTAGTCGATGCCCTAGTAAGGAAGAGGTTATAAGGTTTGATATGGTATGGGATGCGGTGGGGGACCTGGCCTGGGGGCTAATTCAAGTAGTCTATGCAATGGTACTTAGCAAATGTTTTGTCACTTGGCAGTGTAATACTTTTTCCTTGTAGTCATTTTCAGTATGTTGGGTTTTCTACATTTTCATTATATGAATAAAATTTCTTAATTGCTGCTGATGATTAAAAAAGAAATGAAAAGAACAATTTTTTTATAGTAAATCAAGGAAATATTGTTAAAATAAAAACGGTTAGTACTGAATGTAGGGTGATGACCTGGCACCATAGAACAAAGAATGTACAAAAACTTCGAACACATCTATCTAAAACAGAAATTCCAACCTAACTCGTGTTTGTTCTGAAAACTCAAACCAAAAGAAGTTTTATCTAATCGTGAGAATTCTGGTAACACCAGCACCCAATCAACTTATCACAATCTGTCCATATTTCTTGTCTTGTCTTTGAAGAGTCTTCTATTTCTTTCTTTCCAGATTCCTCAACAAATTGAAAATGGGGTATAGCACCAAAAGATCTTTAGTTTTTGTTTCCTTTGAACTATTATTTAATTATAAAGTGCTTTTATTTTGGTGAATACCCTGTATTATATAGTTTATTGTTGGGAGATGATTTCTTGATTTTGCTGAGTGATAATTGAATTTTGACATTTTTATATGAAATTGAAATGGTACATTGTTTTCGGATTGTCTCTTGTGCTAACGTTAAGGTGTTAAATTCTTGGTAGAAATGTTAGGTGACAAAGTTGGGACAAGGTGCTTCACGAAACGATCTAGGGAGATGTTGAATAGCTTGTCTCTAAGTTTGGAGCACAAGAGGCTCCAACAGACTCCCTTTGGACACTTCTTGGATTTGCCACATGTGACTGTAGAGATGCCCTTCTGAGTTATCTAGTAAAATCATGGAATTCGACTAGCCATTGCTTTATAGTTGATGAAAAGATTGTGCAATTCAGCAAGGCCCAAGCATTCCGACACCTTTCGGCCACCAAACACACAACCTCCTACTGCCACTAACCTACCAAGCATCCCAATACCTTCCAACCGCCCGTCGACCCAATGGCCTGAACTGACAATGGGAAACGGTGGTTCTACAAAAGTACCATTTTCCACCGTCGGCCTTCCCCGTTGGCCTGGGGTGTCTCTGAATCCCACATGATGAAATGGAAGAATCACCTAGAGGCCGCTCTAGCCGGTACTGAGGGGTTCGGTGGCCACCAAACCCACACCTTCCTATTTCCACTGATTCATCGAGCATCCCAACACCTTCTAGTCGTCCATCAGCCCAACGGCCCAAACCGACAGTGGTTCTGCAAAATGACAGTTTCCCATCGTCGGCCCTTCCCATTGGCTCGGGGTGTCTCCGCCATCTTTGTGGACATCCAGTAGACCTCTCCCCACCCTATGGAGGTGGTACCGCCACTCATCTACCTAGGTTCACCAATTGGCTGATCCGGTAGGTGTGGAGGGATGCAATGGTCACCATATCCACACCCTCCTACTGCCATTGACCTACCAAGCATCCTAACACCTTTTGGTCGCCCCTTGGCCTAATGAACCAGACCATCGGTGGGAACCGATGGTTCTATAAAAGCACTATTTCCCACCATTGGCCTTCATCGTGGGCCTAGGCTTCTCTGCCTCTTGTGAGAATGTTTATTCGATGGATATACAAATATTTCTTAGTAAACAAAAAAAAAATCTTGTAAGCAATTATATTTATATATTTATATTTAAAAGTCCAACATAACTACAATAAAATGCCAAAATAGTTTGCCAACATGAAAACAAAAGGGGGGAGTCTTCTAACACAATCGTAAAAACATTGAACCAACGTATTCACCACTTACGATAAACTATTTCCACAAGACCAGCAGGAGAATAATAACAAAAGGAACAAAAACAAGTTGCCTGTAGCCATACATTCAATAACTAACTCATGAGCTAGTTTCATGGACTCAATCTGTCTTATGCAAATTTCAATTGCTCTCTCCACATTTCTAAGGCTTTCCAAAACATTTGCAATCGCTAGAAGAATCACTTTTAATCGTTGGGCCATCTAGCACCTGGTCCTACAAGTGCAATACATGTGACTTACAATGCCTTATATCAATGTTAACAAATAATATCGTCCCACTAAAAATACTATCTCAGATTTTAATCAACAACTATAAAACAACTTCTATGGGTTATTTCGGCTTATTAAAAT